TCTTATTATCTTAGACCCTCTTGTTCAAGAATAAACGCCTTAACAGCCACAAAGAGGCTAATTTTGTAGTTAAAATCGCGGAAATCGAATTTGTAAACCTTGAAACTTTTATCTCAAAGGCATCATCAGGCTTATTGATTTGATCAATGGTTTAAAAATCAGTTCTTACTGAAGAATGTCTTTAAAAAATCACCAAAAACTGTAAAAAAAACCGTAAAATTGTGCATTTTTTTGCGAAACTCAAAAAAATAGAACTTGCGATGTGTGAAAGTTTCGTTTAGAGATCAGGCGGTTTTATCCAAAATCTTCTTTTGACCGATGAATGAAGCAACGATTTGGAAATCTTAGACTCTCTTTTTCAAGAATAAACGCCCCAAAGCCACGAAAGCTAAAAAGTGACTAATTTTTGCGTTAAATCGCATAAAACAAATTTGAAATCACTACAAGTTTCGTATCAGACAATTTTTTTAAACCGACAAGACACTTTTCAAAAGCCCCCAAACTGCAAGATTTACGATTTGTGCCTTCAACCCAGGAAAATCGAAGTTGTAAACCCTGAAAGTTTCGTTCTTCAACTGTTTAAGGCTTTCGGTACTCGCTGATGAAGCTCAACTTCAATTGACTTTGGGAATTGAGAAAGCGGAAAAACCTTTTTGAGCCAAAAAACACTGAATGTTCAACGCAATGATGAAAGTCTCGCTCCAAAGCCACTTTCAAATGTGAACATTCGTCACCTTTTTGCAGTTTCAGATTGAAATCGCGTCACTGGCTTCAGGTCAGGATTCGTTTAAATGCCATCTTAAAAGATGAACTCTGCGGATCGTCATTGAATAAACATCGCAATAAAATACATACAAAATGCCACAGAAACAGAGTGTTTGGCCTGAGAAAATGCGCATTTGTTAGCGTTATTGTGGATTTCGCTAAAATCCCTCAATGGCAAAGGGATTCACCAAATCCGCGGCACTCCAGCTATGCGTGTGGCATTCAGTACGTTCGCAGAAAAAATTCCCAGTATTTTCCTTTTATGTTGATCAACTGGTAAAATGCGCTTTTCCGTTCAACTGTCACCATATGGAGGAAAAAGTGCATGGAAGTTTAAACAGCAGACAAAAACAAGTGCGGTTTTTCATCCGGTGGTGGCTACTGGCCCTGTTTATGCGGTGATTGGCCGCGTAATAAACGCGATGCGACCGCAACAAGTGAATAATAAAATCAAAGTGAGGGCAAAAAGTGGAAGAAAGCAGAAAAATGCGAGATTAGAACCCCGCAGCTATGTCAAGGTCCCAGCCGTCGATAAGGAGCAGTTATCAGGTGAGAACCCGGCCGGTTCCCTCAATGGGAAAAAGCAGCCGAGCGCAAATAACCCGACCAACAAAATAATCAACTTGCCATTATAAAAAGTTATCAACTCACCGTACAAGCGCTGATAAGCGGGCTTAGTTTTCATATCGCCGTTATCAAATTGCTATCAATCGGGTTCGGGTACCACTAAAAACTGTTCGCAACACGCCACAGACAGTCTCGCACCAAGTCGCTCGCGGTCCGGAGCTGCGGCGGGTACCGGGAATGACTTAAGCCCCTTGGAGGGGAGCGGCTTCGCTACTTAACAGTAGAGGGGAGAACCGCGCTCTTATTTGCTGTTCACTCTGGTCTGGCCTACGCGATTTGTCCACCCGCTGAGGTTCTTTTTCATTTGGTTGTTGCCGTCGCACTGGCCGCTGATCAACTGTTCAGCCTCCACTCAAGTACCCTCGGGTACGAGAGGACAATTAAGCGACTTCGGGTACCCAGCCAATTAAAATCTCATCATCGGCTGAGCCTTATTGAATGGTGTTTGCCCAGTTGAGTAAACAAGCATTCTGGTAGACAAACAACAACAACCCTCTGTCACAACATCTCAATTCGGGAAAAATCGGGCCCGCTTTGTTGAGCGAGTGGGCGGTACCCGTTCTGTCACCCCCCGTTAACTTATCGGAGGCTCAAGCGGTCATTAATATCCGTCGCGTTGGCCTCAGGGGGATTAAAGCTGGCAATTCAAGCTGCATAAATTATTTATTGTCCGTAATATCTATGAGGTCCATAACACAGTAAAAAACTACAAGTCTTCGACGACATCCCAACTTGTAAGCCCAATAAATATAATACAATTCCGGGCGCAAAGAGGAAGTAGGCGATCGGGGGGCGCAGCCTCAATGGGCCCCAACTGACAAACATTTACACTTAATTAATAATTGTCTTAAATTTGAGTCCGTATCGGGCACGATTCGCATGCGGCGTTCAAGAAACTCGAAGCAGTTTTCACGCCTGACTCCTAGACCGATTATCATGCGGTAATCGGCCCATCAGTTAGGACAAAGCGACTATAGGGGACAAAACAAATCATTTCTTGAACGGCCGACAAGCCCCATGATTCAGATCATTCTTCTACGCTAGAGTGAACCTTAAACGTGTAAAGACTATGTACAAGAGTCATAGATCGGGGGAAAACCGCCGCTATAACCGTTGAAAAGCGTTGGCGCCTAGCGAGGCCGCCTTCGCCTTGCGGGTGGGTTGTACTGACATTGGTGCTGTTGGTGGCGACTCATCCGAGTTTTCTCCATTATTCGCCAGCTCCTGAAACATTCAATTTTCACTCAAAAACGCACACTTATTGAACGAAACGAATGCAAATTGCTATCGGCATTTTTACGACCATACAGTGTCCCGTCCGAAAAAACCTGACCTAACTTTTATTAAGGAAAAGTCTTCTTATTTTTTCGTCGCTATTTTAGGCAGGTTGTAATGTTTCGCCCAGTTTCTCCAGTTGAACTCGATCAAACGCATTCTGCAGCTCTATGAAACCCTTGTAGGCTGGTTTACAACCCTAAGTAGGATTCTGCCTCTGTAATTCTCTGATGGTTTTTAATCCCCGTCTTAACAGAAGAATTATGGTGCTCGTTCGCCATTTTTCGGGAATTTAATCGCCTCAACAATCACTTTGATTAAACCTAGATGGAAATTTTTTACAAACTTTTTTTTGGGTATTTTGCCTACAAATTTTTGTCAAGAATAATAGGATAATACAGTATATGAAAATTCGCTTTGATAATTAGTCTGTGCAAATTGTCAGTTATGTGT